CAGGACTGTGTGCTGGAAGGAGGGTGCTGAGAAACTCATCTTCCCCTTTGGGTATTGATGCATTCAAAGTAACAGAGAATCAAAATCAACCTGTGGAAATATAAGATCCATTTTGGGAGCTTCTGGCCCCACAACTGGTGATGTCAGTAAAAGCAGGGGCAGTCCAGAGCTTCCACCCTGTCCTCACTGGCACTGTGGGTCCCTCAAAGTGCTGGAGCTGGATGCACTGCTGGGAGCAGCAGGGCTGTGTCAGCAGAGTGCTCTCGGTCCTGACATGCTCTGCCCCATTGTGGGACTCATTAGTGCGGGCAGAGAAGCTCATCAGGATCATTACCTGCTTCTGAGGTGGCCCTGCACCTGTCCCCCAGCTCTGGAACCGAACAGGCTGGGAGCTGCCCTGACCATTCCCTGCATCTCTGCACCCTAAGGTGACCCCGGATCACTGTGATTTGTTTCCCTGTGGTAGCTGAGCACCTGAGGGGTCAGAGGACGAAGGTGGCTCTCTATTCTCAGGAAAGATGTTGTTCAGCATCCCCAAGGCAGGTGATCAGTTTTCCTCTCCATCCCCTGCAATCTCCCCTCTGGACCACACCTTGTGCCAGGTCAGTGCCTCCAAGGATGGGAGCTGGCACTGCCAGGGGCAGGACAGGCTGCAGAACTCAAGAGGATTCAGTTCTTCATTTGCCACAATTCTCCCAAAAAAGTGACTGGGGAAGCTGCAAAGGCTTCTGAGAAGTTTCTGTTAATTATCCTACGTGCACACTCCAGCCTTTTCTAGTGTTTGCCACTGGAGAGAAGAGCTCATTTAGACCGGGGGAGAGGGGGAGAACAAAGCCATTAAAAGAATAGCGGTAAGCCTAGCGAAGAGATAACAAATGACAGAGCTGCAGAATGCTAATGCCATGTCCTTGTCTCCTTGTGAATGGACCTGTGCAGCTCATCTGAGCAGCCCTGCTCCAGCGAGCAGATCTCTCCCCAAAGGATTGTCCCTCTGCAGCTATGAAAAATGTACGAGGTAGAAAAGGAATTTTTAAAATCCCCTGCAAGGACTACACTTGTTCAGTCAACAGCCACGTCTGACATCCCCGTGCTTTCCCAAGGGCTGAGAGGGGCTTCTTCCTTCCAAGGGGATGCAGGGTGGGAGTTGGTGCCAGCCCAGGGAGCTGGCAGATGATGTGAGCCAGACAAAGCAAGCTTTGTTCAGTATCACAGTAACACCTTTAAGGGGTTTCATCTGTTCATTTGTGACCCTAAAACACGTCTGCAATGACTTTTTCCTTTTGAAATTGATACATCTTGTTAAAAAAAATAAGAAAATGCAAAGACAACTCTGAAAATATAACTGGATTTCCCAGGCAACCATTAATCCAATGGTATCTAAAGCATATTTCTACCACTAAACAAAAAGTATATATTTAGTTATGTGTGTCCATACATCACACGCACATATATTGCACATTATTTATGCTGGTGCAGTAGCCTTGGTATTAATAGTAACATATCAGTATCTCTCCAGTAATCTTCAGGCAGCTCCCCAAAGAGCACTGCTGAAATCTCCTGAAATAACAGCTAAAACCAGTGGTGAAAAACTACCCAGCAATGTCTTGTTCTTGTCCCCCAGCTGTAGCTGGGTGAAGAGAGGGAGGGCAGACAGTGTGAGCAACAGAGGGCAAAATGCTACTTTTTTGTGGTTTTTAAGTACCAGCAGCTTCATGAATATAATTTTGTCAAAAAATGCCAAGAGAAATACATGACACATTTTGAATGTTCCTGCTGCCAGATGAATTATTTGGTGATGATGGGATCTACAGCATGGTTCTTGCATGGAGGTACATGGTAATAAAACCCAGGGTGGGTGTTTGAAGCCCAGCACCCCACACCATTAATGCCCTAGAGACACTTCCCAGGCAGTCAAGAACAGTGGAAAAAGCCATAAATGCCACTGGGGTTTTTTTTATTCTCCCTTTTCAGTTCGGTGTCCTCCTAAGTGCACCCTGCTGCCAGTGGGGTCTCTCTGGGCTCTGGGATAGAAGCACAGACTCCTCCAGCCACAGCAGCTCAGGACTGACTCTCCAGGGCAGCACAGCTACTCCTTCATCCACAACCCTCCTCATCCTCCCACTCCTCTGCCCAGCTTTGCTTTTTTCCACTGTCTCCCCAGCCAATCCCAGTCAAGAAACTGGTACAGACATTCATTTTATCTACTCCAGTAAGGCAGCTCTCTGGTTCTAAAAATACCCCAGGAAATTAAATCAACATTTTGTAATTTGCTGGTAGCAGCAATTACTAATAATCAGCAGGGACATAATTTTCTTCGTTTTCTACTCTTGCTGTAATGTAATCTCAATGGCAAACTTGGTTTTGCACACTAAACAAACACAATGGCCAATATGGAAAAAATGGGGAGACAAAGCAGAGTTTAAAAACAAATTAAAAATAAATAAACTTCTATCAAATAGCAAAAAAACCCTGTAATTCAAACAGCCTTTGGGAAAGATAAAGTTGATATTGTTCCTACATTCCCCTGTGAAATGGAAAAATGAAAGCTCCACTCCTCTTCCTCAGTGGCAGCAGCACTCAGTGTTGCAGCCCCTGTGCCTGGAGGCAGCATCGCCCCTGCCCAGGCTCCCCCAGAGCTGCCAGTGCACTGTGAGGGCAACAAAAGACACAGCAAGGTTAGGAGCACACATGACTTGGACTTGAAGGACTGCAGTCAAGCAAACCACTCAGTTCATAGTGAAAAACATTTTTGCAGAAGGGAGCCTGGTTCTGAATAGGTTTTCTGGAGACTGAGACAGCTCTTGCAGATAAAAAAAAGGAATATTTTCCTTCCCTAGCTTGATAAATTTGCTGTAGATGTCTATGCTTTCTAAATCAATAAACAAGTGCCAATTCATGCAAGGATTTAACTTGGAAGCATGACCAACTCATTGCTTTTCCTTCAGCCAAGAACAGCAGATGCTCTGCTGCTCTCTGCAAGTACCAGTCCCTAACAGGTATTGATGACTGTATCAAGCCAGCTTGGCTAAAGACAAATCCTCCTGAATTGTGGGAGCTCTTGTCACGCTTGGGAACTGCTCAGCAAGGCTCCTGCCAGCAGCAGTGCTGCATGGCATTTCCAAATGGCACATTCTCTCTCTGTCCAGTTTAGAAGACATCCTTTACTAAGGCTTGGAGAAGCTGCAAATTCCCCACGATCCCCAAGCAAAAATGAGCTGCAATCCAAACTCCTGTTTCAAAGAAATCAGAAGAAACATCCCCACACTCACCCCCAGGTGCCCTGGATTGCACAGGAACCATCTGCATCCTTCCAAAGGCCAGGTGGGTACTGATAAGCTCAGGCAATATTATAAATTATTTCAGAACAGAGGCAGGTGAGCACCTGGAGCTCAATAAATAGACCCACAAAGCATGAGGCAGCACCTATGCAGTGCCTGTGGAAGAAAAGCCTTTAGAAAGGATGGATCACTCCCAGATAGTTTAAGTAATTAGATCACTAAACTTTCTTTGGTTCAGGGAAAGGTAAATATCAATCTGGTCTTTGGTATTTTTAACCTTGGAATAAACTTTGGGAAGTACACATATTGGAAAGACATGATTTGGAGAAACTTCACATTTACTTTGCTCTTGGAAATTCTGCAGCAGTCCCTGTACTGTGTTGATGAGTTTACAGCTGCTGCTTTGGTGCCAGTGCCCTCCAGCACAATCACTGCTTTCCAGGGGATCTTTTGGATGGGTGGCAAAACTCCATCTCCCAGCTGCCAGAAGGCTTTATAATTAACCAGATTATCATTTTTCAATCACTTGCTTCAAGACTTCTCATTTGAAACTGGATTATCTTTTCTTCAGCTTTTTGGACAGATTTTTTCTCTCCAGAGGAACAGGAGTCACACTGGAATATGACTCAAAGCTGGTTTTCTTTGTATTTTCAAATAGACAAAACCACTCAGGCTTTTGGAGACAGATTCCTCTTGGAAAGGGAAAACCCATCAGTGGCTGTGTTCTTTGTGCTGGTGCCCAGTGCTGCTGTTACCTGCTGATGGGGGGCTCCTACTGGAAAACCAAATGTCTTTGGGCTGATCCCAAATGCTGCTGGCACCAGCCACTGTCAGGGGACTCACAAACCCCTCGGACCCCACCAAAGGCAGAGGGAGCACTGAGGGAGAGACAGCAAACACAGAGGGGGAAGGAAACATCAGGTGCTAACGAGTCTGTCAGCTTAATTTGATAGCCTGGCACAGCCTGCAGGTGCTTGATGCCCAGGGAGAGCAGTCAGGTGCCCTCTTTAGCTTCAACTTTGATGTTATGTCAAACTAAAGGCACACCTTTAATTCTTCTGCCATCATTTTTCCCTGCTGCTGTTGTGGCCACGATGCTGACAGTGCAGGGCTGCTCCTGGGTCCAGCCCTCGCTGCCTTGGCCAGGCTTTGTGTGGCCAGAAGGGTCACTTTGAGCTGTGGGGACCAGAGCAGAGGCAAAGCATCCACAGCAGTGGCTGCAGGGCTTGGGAAGAGCCTCACCTTGATGATAAAGGGGCTTGTTTCCTTAAGTGCTAGTACAATCACTGCTTTCCAGGAGATTTTTTGGATGGGGGGGTGAAGCAGGCATGGTCCAGGTGCAGGGGATACAGACACATCACAAAGAGACAGGCTAGGTCTATCCTTAGAGAGATTCACACTTTTATAGCACAGCAAAGCTTTTAGATAAAGTGAAAAAGTTAAAGAGGTATTAAAATGCCCACATTAAACTAAGCCTCGTTTCAGATGCTGTAAAGGCCAGGTTGCACTACTGGAAATGGCCTGAAAAAAACACCAGGAGAAAAGAAGTCATAATGACTGTCAGGATGAGACACAAACCAAGCAGAAATGGAGGTTTTGCAAAGTTTTGCAAAGCAGGTTGCACTGCTGCAGGCTGTGCAGAGGTGCAGCACTGCTGCTGCACAGCCCTGCCTTCATCCAAAGGCTCTGTCAAGTGGAAGGGTGTCAGCACACAGGACTTACTTAGTGTTGTCTGAGTCAATGGTATGAAAGAGCTTCTCCAGTTCTTCTTCATTGAGTGTTCCATCAGAAAAGAAGGCCTGGAACTCCTCCAGGGACAGCTTCCCATCATCTGCAAACAGCAACACAGCTGCCATTAGGGAACAGCAAACTGAGGGGACAACACTGAAAATCAAGAGTTATTTACAAATTTAAAGATTCACACCAAAATTACCTCCAAGTGCTTCTGCAAAGCTGGCTCTCAACCAGTGCAGAGCTCAGGGGCCTCAGGGTGGGACCCTGCAGCTCTGGCTGACCCAGCAGCAGAGGAAGATGCTCACGGGTATGGGTGCACTGGTCATTGGCAACTAATTGGGCTGTTAACCCAAAGCATGGCTCAAACACAAAGAGGAAAAACTGGTGAGCTTCATCCTAAAACTGAGCTACATTTAAGAAATTATGGAGGGTTTTGTCTGCCCTATGTTCAAATTATTCAGGATGCTCATTAAGGGACATTTACTTGATAGGAAACAACCCTGGGCTGGAATTAGAACAGACCCAGAGAATCTTTTTCCATCTCCATCCAGCTGCATCCTCTCCAGCACAGTCCATCTCCCTGCTCTGGACAGAAATGTTAAATGGAAGCTATTTCACTGATGTGGGAATCTGGCCATACACTTTCTGTGTTCTGTTATATATTGGTCCCAGTGTTCATTTAATACTGAGGCTACTAGGGCCTCCTTAAATGACCAAGAAGGAAAAGAAATTATCAAATTTATATACAAGGGGCTAAAAGAAGGACTCTCACAAGTTTGACTGATAAGGTGACAAAGGCTTACATTTCACTGATGGATCTGGAGCCTTTCTCTGTGCTCTGCAGACAGGAACAGAGCTGGCTGTGACAAAGCTCCTGTGGAGTTCAGCAACAGGAGACAGACAAAAGAAACTCTAAAGAAACTTTAATTTACCATTTCTTGTCCAAGCTGCTGACACCATACTCTGGTGTGCAGCAGTGCCTGGGAGGGAATAACTACCCCAGGTCACACGTTAATTAAAATCTTTCCATTCATATCCACAGAAGAGTCACAGACTGGAAATGCTGCCTACTTTGTGATAGAAGAATGTATCATTTATTATTTAATCAAATCAATAATAAACCCTGTTGTTTCTTTTTCAGGAAATGATGCTAGAGGACAAAATTAGCCAACTCTCCACACACACGTCAATATTTCTTCCCCAAAGTAAGTCTGCTGCTCATAAAACATACCTGCATTGCCAAATGCTAACCCAGTTTCCCTTGCCTGGCATAGACAAATTTAGAACAGTGATAAACTGAGTCTAAGATGCCCATTTAATTGGCAATTATGGAAGGAACACAGCAGGAGAAGAGTCTGCAGCAACGCTGGGTGAAGAGGGCACCATTTCCAGAGCACCACAATGGCTGCAGGGAGGGTCCAGCTGCCTTTATTGTTTCCCTGCATTCCTCCCCCAAAATGTGGCCTTTCTGCAGCAGGCAGGGTGCAGAACAGCAATGCACAGCTTAGGGGATGGGTCCCAAATCTGCTCTCCATTTCTGATTACAGAACACTAAAGCACCTGCACTTCAGCAAGAACCTATTGCTTGAAGCATCCCTCCAGTGTCACCTGGAGCTTCACCCAGTGGTGCCATTCTGTCACTGAAGGGGACAAAAAGAAGAGTCCAGAGCCCCGTGCACACCATCACCTCCACCTCTCCATATTACACAAAAGGATGAGAAGCTTTTCCCCCCTCAGTGCTCCTATTTGTGCAGTATCCTAGCCAAGATCAAGGTTTGGTTTCTTCTGATCCTGACTGGCAATGAATGCACATCTTCAAGTGCCAAGATCAAAAGGATGACAGCATTTCTATCCCACAAGGGCTAAACAATTCTTTATATATAGAACACTTTACCTGTAAACCATAAATCAGTGCTTGTTCACCTTCAAACTGTCCTTCCACACAGAGGGCAGCAGAAATAAATTCCCAGGAAAGTCACATAAATCAACTTACTGGGAAAGAGAAACTGTAAAGTGAAGTGGTTTTTTTTTTTTCAGGAGAGTACTTTGATCTGAATTTACAATTTGCTTAACTCTGAAAATCACAAAGGTATTTCTAAGTTTAAGGCAAAAATTCACACCCTATATCTGGTTTACATCTTACAACTTCTATCTTTCATTTTACTCTTGCTTGTTTTGCTCTGGGTTTTTTTAAAGTTTTTTTTTAGTAATGTGCTCCAGGATGCATTTTTGCTGCAGCCTCTGAAATATCTGTGTTTCAAATCTGTGCCAAAACACTGCTCTGACTCCTGCCTCAGAGTCCCCAGAGAGAGCAGGTAGACAGACACCAACTACCACGACAGGTCAGATCAATGGAAACCTACATGCACTGAATTTTTGTTGGCATTTAGCAGCCTGAAGTAATGAAAAAACAGGAATATTTAAGGATCTAGAGGAAGAAGGAAGTGACAGTGTTTTGTTTAAATTTTATTGTCTGGAGACCCCACAGAACTGCTTGAATAAAAGTATTCTGACGCCACAGAATTTGAATAAAAGTACCAATTTTATTTGCAAGGAGTGCTCAGGTCCTTCATCTCCCCCCCAGCCACCAGCACCAAGTACCAGTCAGCTTAAAGCTGATGGTTATTTAATATAAACTGGAATACTTGTCTGCAAACACACAAAGCAAAAGCCTTTCTGAGTAACAAGATAATCCTTGAGCTGCATATCTATAATTGTGGAACAGCCTGAGAGCCTGGGTTTCTGGAGCCCAGCAGGCAAAGATGCCTTCAGGGAACTTTGGGGTGATAAGAGGAAGCAGTCTGGGCTGGGATTTGCCGTTTCAAATTAAAGTGTTAGAAAACCCCGGGTGAGGAGGATTGACCACGATGGGACCAACACCAGGTCCCCGGGCTGGCAGTGCTGTGATAAGTAAGAGCTGATGGGACACTGTGGTCCAGGAGGAGCTTTATCAGGATAGTCCCAGCTTTTTCTGCCAGCAGGAATGTCTACACTCAGTAGAGAATGGATAAGACTTCCAGAAAGCAGCTTTTTGCAGAAAGCTGCAGGGTTCAAGAGGTACAAATTCTCCAAAGGGACAGGCAGAGCCTCAGTGGGCTCAGCCTCACCCATCCCCTGCCCTGTGGAGCTGCTCTGGGATCTTTCAGACCTTGGGACTTACTTTTGACAAGAAGCATAATGGAAAAATTGAGATTCTTTACCAAACCTTACTAAACCAAATAAAGTTTCTATCATTTTTAGGATCTAGATCATAAAGATCTTAAGATCTAGAGATCTAGATCTACACAAATATTTGTGATTTTTTTTATCTGGGCAACCATACTAAAGGCAGACAGACTATTTCCATGGACTCCCTCCCTCCCCTTTAAACCCAGCACTTGAAGTTAACATCTAGCTGCCAGCAAGGACAGGAGCCACTAACTAGAAATTGCCTCCCTTGCACTGATCGGCTGAAAAGAGATAATCAGGCCACAGCTATCCTGCCATCATTTCTTCCTGAGGGAGCAATCTTCATTTTACTCTAGCTTTTCAGAATAATTCAATCACAGGCAAAGACCAAAGCAAATTACCAGCCCAACAGAGTTATCAAAGTTAAAGGTAACTGAAGAGAGAAGGACATAAGAGAGAGCATCAGAAAGCCCCAGCTGGGATGTTATTATATCTCCATTTGCCATCATGAAAATGTGAGGAGTCCAGAAGTGGCTTTTACACCTTCTAACTCACACAATCAAGCTGTTCTCACCCACTAACATAGCCCAGGGAAAAATCAAACTGAGATCATAAATCGTCCAAAGTATAGGAAATCTGATGGCCGAGTTTCTGGAAATTCACTCAGTGACACAAAGCTGCTTAAAGCAGCTACAAAATAAGGTCACTGTTCTGAGCCTGAGTTTGCTAAATCTGTTTTCAATTACATGAAGCTGAGACTGCTCATATATTTTCCAGATATATTATGAATATATTTTCTAGCTATTATTATGACTATACTTCATTACTTACTTTTATTACTCTGCGAGTTCTAAAATGCTCTAAGCTCTGCTTACTTGCAAGTGCCCAACAGCTATGGGTAAGTAAATTGGATTTTATTGGGGCCTGTGAATAAAAATGATAACTCTATTTTTTACTTCTTTCTTGGGGATAAGCATGTGCAGATACATGAGCCAGCAAGAACAGACTGGCTTCCACCCTGAACCCTTCATCCAGCCCCTTTGGAAGCCAGGAGCAGCGAATTTGTTTATTAATTTAAACCAAAGGGAATATGGGCTTGAGCTTTCCATCCTGGGCTGTTAGGGAAAATTACCTCCAGGCCCACAGATCTGACCTGTGATGAACCTTTCCACTGGGCAAAGAAGGGCTGTGTCCTCTGCATCCCCAGCCCACTCTGAAAATCATCTGCAGCTCCTCACCAGTGACTCAGGCACGTAGCAGCCAGCAAAAAATGATCCACCCACTTCAATTCCATCCTCACAGTGCTCTGTTGGGGGCAGTTGCATTTATTGGAAGCAGGGCTGGTGATTCACCTGCAGACCTGGCTGAAGGTGCAGAGCCACAGGAGCTCTGCAGGAGCACAGCCCACGTTTGGTGGCTCTGCACAAGGACAGTGCCATTGCCACTGCAACACAGCCCCTGCAAATGCCTTTGTTAATGAGATGTAACATACATCGTTACAAGGAAATTACTACAATTACAGTAATTTTCCAGTGAAAGAAATTTACAGAATGACTCCAAAATGTTGAAACTTAACTAATGCCCAGCACAGCTGTTTTCACAAGGGTCAGTACCACACCAAGCAATCTGTGCAGATAACCTAAGAGAGAGATTGATGTTTCCAATCTAGGGAATAATCTCTGTTTGAAACACTCCTGTGCATTTCTAATGCCAGCTGGGAACGCTGCTGGGACCTACTGGGTGATGCTGGCACGAGAATGCAAAGGCTGGCACAGAAAAGTTTCACACACAAAGCGAGGGATTGAACTTCAAGATCTGGGGTTTTGCTTACTCATCTCATTGAAAACCACTTGATGAATGCTCTGCTGTGTTCTGGGCATGATCCCCTCCTTTTCCTTCTTGCCATGAGCACAGTTTTGAGGTGGTGTT